ACTCAACGCGTCTGGGTGTCCGGCAATCTCCAATACAAATCAACCTGTGAGGTTTCAGTATGCAGCTTTCGTCACTCAACGCGTCTGTGTGTCCGGCAGTCGCAAGCGTCACTCAACCCGTTAGGTCTCCATATGCAGCCATCCTCACTCAAAGCGTCTATGTGTCTGGCACTATCCAACATCACTCAACTCGTGAGGTTTCAGTATGTAGCTATCCCCACCCAGCGCGTCTATGTGTCCAGCAGTCGCAAACGTCACTCAACCCGTTAGGTATCAATATGCAACCATCCTCACTCAAAGCGTCTATTTGTCCGGCACTATCCAACATCACTCAACTCGTGAGGTTTCAGTATGTAGCTATCCCCACCCAGCGCGTCTATGTGTCCAGCAGTCGCAAACGTCACTCAACCCGTTAGGTATCAATATGCAACCATCCTCACTCAAAGCGTCTATTTGTCCGGCACTATCCAACATCACTCAACTCGTGAGGTTTCAGTATGTAGCTATCCCCACCCAGCGCGTCTATGTGTCCAGCAGTCGCAAACGTCACTCAACCCGTTAGGTATCAATATGCAACCATCCTCACTCAAAGCGTCTATTTGTCCGGCACTATCCAACATCACTCAACTCGTGAGGTTTCAGTATGTAGCTATCCCCACCCAGCGCGTCTATGTGTCCAGCAGTCGCAAACGTCACTCAACCCGTTAGGTATCAATATGCAACCATCCTCACTCAAAGCGTCTATTTGTCCGGCACTATCCAACATCACTCAACTCGTGAGGTTTCAGTTTGTAGCTATCCCCACGCAGCGCGGCTATGTATCTGGCAAACTCAAAAACCAATCTATCTGTGAGGTTTGGGAATGTAGCTGTCTTCACTCAACATGTCTATGTGTCCGGCAATCTCCAATACAAATCAACCTGTGAGGTTTCAGTATGTGTCTTTCCTCACTCAAAGCGTATGTGTCCGGCACTATCCAACATCACTCAACTCGTGAGGTTTCAGTATGTAGCTATCCCCACTCAAAGCGTCTATGTGTCTGGCAAACTCAAAAACCAATCCTTCTGTGAGATTTCAGTATGG